CGGTGCCGGCAGCGCGGCAGCGACGCCAGTGTGCTGGTAAAGGTTTGGGGTTGGGATTTGGGGTTTGGGAATTGGGGATTGGAGTTTGGGATTGGGGATTTTGGGATTTGGGATTTGGGGTTTGGGATTGGGGTTTGGGGTTTGGGGTTTGGGATTTGGGGTTTGGGAGAACTCCCAGTGCCGGGAGCGCGGCAGCGATGCCGGCATCCTGGTAAACTTTGGGGTTTGGGGTTTGAGGTTTGGGATTTGGGGATTTGGGATTTGGGGTTTGGGAATTAGGGTTTGGGGTTTGGGATCTCGGGTTTGGGATTTTGGGGAATCGGGTTTGGGGTTTGGGATTTGGGAGAATTCCCAGTGCCGGGAGCGCAGCAGCGATGCCGGCATCTTGGTAAAGGTTTGGGGTTTGGGAATTGGGAATTGGGAATTTGGGATTTGGGGTTTGGGATTTGGAATTGGGGATTTGGGATTTTGGGGATTTGGGATTTTGGGTAATCAGAAATGGGAGAGGAGGGGTGGGAAAGGGAATTTTCCCAGGGATTTTTTGGGATTAAATGCCAACAATCCCCAAAAATGGGGGAATTTGGGAATTTTCCCAGAGATTCTTTGGGATCAAATCCTGAAAATCCAAAAAATTGGCGGGATTTGGGAATGGGAATTTTCCTGGAGATTCTTATGGATAAAATCCCAAAGATCAAAAAAATTTCCCAAATTTGGGAATTCCCAAATTCCTCCCCACGTGGGATTCTCCCACTTCCAGAGGGTCCAGAATCACAAATTCCTAAACTGCTCCCAACATCAGGAAAAGCGGGAATTCCATCCCAGGATTCCCAAATTTGGAAATTCCAGAGGGTGCAGAATTCCAAATTTTCTGCTTCCAGATGGTCCCAAATCCCCCATTCCCAAATTATTCCGAAATCCAGGATCACAGAAAAGTGGGAATTCCGTCCCAGAATTCCCATTCCTTGCCTTATTCCAGGGAATTCCCAAATTTGAGATTTGCCGAAAATTTTCCACTTCCAGAGGGTCCCAAATCCCCCAGTCCCAAACTCTTCCCAGGATCACAAAAAGTGGGAATTCCATCCCAGAATTTCCAAATTTGAGAATTCTCAAATCCGTCCCCACACGAGATTCTTCCAAAATTTTTGGTTTTCCAGGGAATTCCCAAATTTGGGAATTCCCAAATTCCAGAGGGTCCAGAATCTCCCAATTTTTCCGCTTCCAGAGGCTCCCAAATCCCCCATTCCCAAATTGTCCCGAACACCAGGATCACAAAAAAGTGGGAATTCCACCCCAGAATTCCAAAATTTGGGAATTCCTCCATTCCAGGTGTGCGCCAGATTTCCTTGGAATCTCCCCTTTCTCCCGGGAACGGGCAATTCCAGCCGCTCTCCGAGAGCCTGCGGCGCTACGTCATGAGCCACTTCCGCTGGAACCAGTTCGGCCGCCGGAACGGCAGCGAGCCCGGGAAACGGGAGGAGGAGGAGGAGGAGGAGAAATCCGGGAACGAGCCCGGAATTCCCGGCTTTTCCCGGCGCTCCGGGGAGCCGGGGAAGGACGGGAAGCGCTCGTATTCCATGGAGCACTTCCGGTGGGGAAAACCCGTGGGGCGCAAGAGGAGGCCGGTCAAGGTTTACCCCAACGGGGCCGAGGAGGAGTCGGAGGAGAATTCCCGGCTGGAATTCCGGCGGGGAGAACCCTCGGAAGGCGAGGAGGAGGAGGAGGAGGAGGAATTCCCGGGATTCCCGTGGAATTCCCAGAAGGAATCCCAATCCTGATCCCAATCCCAATCCTGATCCTCATTCCAATCCTGATTCCGATTCTGATCCCTATCTCAATCCCTATTCTGATTCCGATTCTGATCCCAATCCCAATCCTGATCCTGATTCCAATCCTGATTCCGATTCTGATCCCAATCTCAATCCCTATTCTGATTCTGATCCCAATCCCAATCCTCATACCCATCCTGATTCGGATTCCAATTCCTATTCTGATCCCGATCCCGATCCTGATTACAATTCCGCTTCTGCTTCCAATCTCGATCCCCATCCCAATCCTGATCCTGATTCTCATCCCTATCCCAATTCCCATCCTGATCCCGATTCTGATCCCAATCCTGATCCTGATCCCGATCCCAATCCTCATCTCCATCCCGATTCGGATCCCAATCCTCATCTCCATCCCGATTCGGATCCCAATCCTCATTCCCATCCCGATTCAGATCCCAATCCTAATCCCAATTCTGATCCCAATCCTGACCCTGATCCCAATCCCGATCTCAACTCTGATTCTGATCCTGATCCCAATCCCAATCCTGATTCTGATGCTGATCCCAATCCCGTTCCCGTTCCCATTCTTGTTCCCAGTTCCAATCCTCATCCTGATCCCAATTCTGATCCTGATTCTGCTTCTGCTTCCAATCTCAATCCCGATCCCGATTCCCATCTCCATCCCAGTCCCAATCCCGATCCCAATTCCGATCATGATCCCAATCCCGATCCTAATCCTGATCCTCATCCCGATTCCAATCCCTGTCTCAATCCCAAACCCAATCCTGATTCCAATCATGATTCAGATCCTGATCCCAATCCTGATCCCGATCCTAATCCCAATCCTGATCCCAATCCCAATCCTGATCCCAATCCCAATCCTGATTCTGATCCCGATCCTGATCCCGATTCCAATCCCAATCTGGATCTCGCTCCAGATTCCGATCCTGATCTTGATCCCAATCTGGATCTCAATCCCGATCCCAATTCTGATCCTGATCCCAATCCCGTTCCTGATTCTGCTTCCACTTCCAATCTCAATCCTGAACCCAATTCCCATCCCCATCCCGATTCTGATCCTGATCCCAATCCCGTTCCTGATCCCGATCCCAATCCCGTTCCTGATCCCGATCCCAATCCCGTTCCTGATCCCGATCCCAATCCCGTTCCTGATCCCGATCCCAATCCCGTTCCTGATCCCGATCCCAATCCCGTTCCTGATCCCGATCCCAATCCCGTTCCTGATCCCGATCCCAATCCCGTTCCTGATCCCGATCCCAATCCCGTTCCTGATCCCGATCCCAATCCCGTTCCTGATCCCGATCCCAATCCCGTTCCTGATCCCGATCCCAATCCCGTTCCTGATCCCGATCCCAATCCCGTTCCTGATCCCGATCCCAATCCCGTTCCTGATCCCGATCCCAATCCCGTTCCTGATCCCGATCCCAATCCCGTTCCTGATCCCGATCCCAATCCCGTTCCTGATCCCGATCCCGGCCGCAGGGCACAAATAAAAACCCATCGGTTCTCCGATAAAATTTATGGATCTGGAATACACAACTCCCGTCCTTCCCCAAATCCAAGCCGGACCCGAGCTCTCGAATTCGGGAGGAATTTTCGGGAAAATCCCGGATTTGCTCCCGCTCCCGGCACGCGGAAGAGACGCGGAGTCTTCCCAACCATCCCTGAGTTTGGATCTCCTGGAATTGCCGCCACCGCTCCGAGTCCAGAATTCCCACGGCGGGAAAACCCCGGATCCGCCTTTCCCTCTTTTCCACAGGGAACAAAAACCCCCACCCCAAAAAAACCCCAAAAAAACCTCCGGGAAAGGGGCCGTGCCGAGGGGGTCGATCCCGTTCCTGATCCCGATCCCAATCCCGTTCCTGATCCCGATCCCAATCCCGTTCCTGATCCCGATCCCAATCCCGTTCCTGATCCCGATCCCAATCCCGTTCCTGATCCCGATCCCGGCCGCAGGGCACAAATAAAAACCCATCGGTTCTCCGATAAAATTTATGGATCTGGAATACACAACTCCCGTCCTTCCCCAAATCCAAGCCGGACCCGAGCTCTCGAATTCGGGAGGAATTTTCGGGAAAATCCCGGATTTGCTCCCGCTCCCGGCACGCGGAAGAGACGCGGAGTCTTCCCAACCATCCCTGAGTTTGGATCTCCTGGAATTGCCGCCACCGCTCCGAGTCCAGAATTCCCACGGCGGGAAAACCCCGGATCCGCCTTTCCCTCTTTTCCACAGGGAACAAAAACCCCCACCCCAAAAAAACCCCCAAAAAAACCTCCGGGAAGGGGCCGTGCCGAGGGGGTCAGGTTCCGGATCCCGGTGGAGATTCCCGAAGAATCCTCAGGAATTCTCCAGCACCTGGTGGGGCAGGGGGACGGCGGCGGATCCGAGGAACGATCCCGGTTTTTCGCGGCCCTTCAGGAAAAACGTCAGGAGCTCGCCTTTGCCCTTGACGTAGACGGCGCCGCGGCGGACGAAGCGGAATCCGTATTCCTTCAGGATCTGCTGCGTCTCCTCCACCACCTGCCGGGGGAAAAAAAAACGGGAATCTGGGAATGTTCCCTTGGGAAACGGGAGGTGGGAAAAGCGGGGGAAGCTCGGAGAGAAACGGGAATTTCCCCCTCCGGATGTGGAGGGGGAAATTCCCGAGGAAGGAGCGGAAATTCCTGGGAGGGTGGGGAAGGGTGGGGTGGAATTCCCAGAGGATCGCTGGGAGTGTCCAAGGAAAGGCTGGAAAATCCCAGGATTGTGAGATTGGAATGGGATGGGATTGAAGGTCCATGGATCCCATCCCAAGAATTCCAGGATTCTGGGGTCAAGGACGCTCAGGATCCATCCCCAGGGATTTTTATGGGATTTGGGGATGGAAAAGTGAAAGGAGACACTTCCTAGCATCCCAAATTCCCAAGGAAATCCCGGTGTGATCCCACCTGGATGTCCCCAAGATTCCTGGGGTGACTCCCAACTGGATATTCCCCATCCCACCCAGATATTCCCAAGATTCCCAAGGTGATCCCACCTGGATACTCCCCAGATTCCCAGTGTGATCCCACCTGGATATTCCAAACATTCCCCGGGTAATCCCACCTGGATATTCCCCAGATTCTCAGGGTGACCCCACCCCGATATTCCCAAGATTCCCAGTGTGACCCCACCTGGATGTCCCCCATCCCACCCGGATGTTCCCACGCTCATTCCCGGCGAGGTCCCATCTGGATGTTCCCCATGATCCCATCTGGATGTTCCCCATGATCCCTCCTGCATGTTCCCCCTCCCACCCAGATATTCCCAAGATTCCCGAGGTGATCCCACCTGGATATTCCCAAGATTCCTGGTCTGATCCCACCTGGATATTCCCCATGATCCCTCCTGCATGTTCCCCCTCCCACCCAGATATTCCCAAGATTCCCAATGTGACCCCACCCAGATGTCCCCCATCCCACCGGGATGTTCCCACACTCATTCCCAGCGAGGTCCCACCTCAAAGTTGCCCACGATCCCACCTGGATATTCCCAAGATCCCTGCCGTGACCCCACCTGGATGTTCCCCATCCCACGTAGAAACTCCCAAGATTCCTGGTCTGATCCCACCTGGATATTCCCAGCATTCCCAGGGTGATCCCATCCCGATATTCCCAATTATTCCTGCCGTGACTCCACTCAGATGTCCCCCATCCCACCTGGATGTTCCCACCCTCATTCCTGGTGAGGTCCCACCTGGACGTTCCCAAGCTTCCTGGTGTGATCCCACCCGGATATTCCCAATTATCCCCACTGTGACCCCACCTGGATGCTGCCCATGATCCCACCTGGATATTCCCAAGATTCCCAACGTGACCCCACCTGGATGTTCCCTGTGTGACCCCACCCGAATGTCCCCCATTCCTGGTGTCACCCCACCTGGATGTTCCCCAAGACCCCACCTGGATGTTCCCCATCCCACCTGGAAACTCCCAAGATTCCTGGTCTGATCCCACCTGGATATTCCCAGCATTCCCAGGGCGATCCCATCCAGATATTCCCAGTTATTCCTGCTGTGACTCCACTCAGATGTCCCCCATCCACGGAGATGGGACATGGAAATGGGACAGGAACGGGACATTGGGATGGGATGGGGATGATGGGACAAGGAGATGGGACATGGAAATGGGACACAGAGACGGGATATTGGGATGGAACATGGAGATGATGGGACATTGGGATAGGACATGGAGATGGGACATGGAGATGGGACATGGACTGGGACATTGGGATGAGACATGGAGGTGACGGGAGGTGGGGATGGGACATGGAGATGGGACATAGAGAGGGACATGGAAATGGGAGATGGGACACGGACATGAAAGTGGGAGATGAGCTGGATGTTCCCTGTGTGACCCCACCCAGATGTCCCCCATCCCACCCGGATGTTCCCACCCTCATTCCCAGCAAGGTCCCACCTGGATGTTCACCATGACCCCACCCGGATATTCCCAGTCATCCCGGCTGTGACCCCACGCGGACGTTCCCCACGGATATTCCCAAGATTCCCCGCGCGGTCCCACCTGGATGTTGCCCATGACTCCGGTGGACTCCATCCGGCTGGCCACGTTGACCGTGTTGCCCCAGATGTCGTAGTGGGGCTTGCGCGCCCCGATGACCCCGGCCAGCACCGCCCCCTTGTTCATCCCTGCCCAGAGGGATAGGGATCAGGCCCGGAACGTTCCGGAATTCCCGGCATTCCCGGCGTTCCCTCCCGGACTTGCCTATGCGCAGCATGAAGTTGTTGAAGGACTGGTAGTTGATGTTCATCAGCGTCACCTTCATGGCCAGCGCGAAGTCGGCCAGGTCGGCCAGGTGCTGCCAGCGCTCCTTCTCCGAGCGTGGATCCTTCTGCGCGGAAATCCCGGGAATTGGCCACCTCCCGAGGGTCCCGGGAGGCGGGAGCTGGGAAACGGGACAGCGGGACGGGAGGTGGGACGTGGGGATGGAGGTGGGACGTGGGGATGGGGACATTGGGATGGGACACGGGGATGATGGGACATGGAGATGGGACATGGATCTGGGGACATTGGGATGGGATGGGAATGATGGGACATGGAGATGGGACAGGAACGGGACATTGGGATGGGATGGGGATGATGGGACACGGAGATGGGACATGGATCTGGAGACATTGGGTTGGGATGGGGATGATGCGACACGGAGATGGGACATGGAAATGGGACATGGAAGTGGGACAGGAACGGGACATTGGGATGGGATGGGGATGATGGGACATGGAGATGGTGGGACATGGAGATGGGACATGGAAATGGGACAGGAACGGGACATTGGGATGGGACATGGGGATGATGGAACACGGAGATGGGATACCATGACTCCGGTGGACTCCATCCGGCTGGCCACGTTGACCGTGTTGCCCCAGATGTCGTAGTGGGGCTTGCGCGCCCCGATGACCCCGGCCAGCACCGCCCCCTTGTTCATCCCTGCCCAGAGGGATAGGGATCACGCCCGGAACGTTCCGGAATTCCCGGCATTCCCGGCGTTCCCTCCCGGACTTGCCTATGCGCAGCATGAAGTTGTTGAAGGACTGGTAGTTGATGTTCATCAGCGTCACCTTCATGGCCAGCGCGAAGTCGGCCAGGTCGGCCAGGTGCTGCCAGCGCTCCTTCTCCGAGCGTGGATCCTTCTGCGCGGAAATCCCGGGAATCGGCCACCTCCCGAGGGTCCCGGGAGGCGGGAGCTGGGAAACGGGACAGCGGGACGGGAGGTGGGACGTGGGGATGGAGGTGGGACGTGGGGATGGGGACATTGGGATGGGACATGGAGATGATGGGACACGGAGATGGGAAATGGATCTGGGGACATTGGGATGGGACACAGAGATGATGGGACATGGAGATGATGGACATGGAGATGATGGGACATGGAGATGGGAATGCAAGTGGGACAGGAACGGGACATTGGGATGGGACATGGAGATGATGGGGCACGGAGATGGGAAATGGATTTGGGGACATTGGGATGGGACACGGAGATGATGGGACACGGAGATGGGACATGGAAATGGGACAGGAACGGGACATTGGGACAGGACATGGAGATAATGGGACATGGAGATGGGACATGGAAGTGGGGACATTGGGATGGGACATGGGGATGATGGGACACGGAGATGGGACATGGAAATGGGACAGGAACGGGACATTGGGATGGGACATGGAGATGATGGGACATGGAGATGATGGGACATGGAGATGGGACATGGAAATGGGACAGGAACGGGACATTGGGATGGGACACGGAGATGATGGGACATGGAGATGATGGGACATGGAAATGGGACAGGAACGGGACATTGGGACAGGACATGGAGATAATGGGACATGGAGATGGGACATGGAAATGGGACAGGAACGGGACATTGGGATGGGACACGGAGATGATGGGACACAGAGATGGGACATGGAAATGGGACAGGAACGGGACATTGGGACAGGACATGGAGATAATGGGACATGGAGATGGGACATGGAACTGTCAGTTCCCCTCCCAGCACAGTGGCTCCAGTGGTGCTGATAGAGACAAGAGGAACCCTTATCTCGCTTGTCCCAGTAGCAAATGTCAGTGCCTTTATTTTAAGCATCCTCTGCCTGAAATTATGTCAAGCCAGCTTGGAATGTCCCTCCTGATTTAGGCAGATGCTGAAACTGAGAAACCCACAACTCGTTTAAAACGTGTTTTGACTTCTGCAAGCTTTTGCACGGCTCCTGCAGCAGCTGGGTTTTCCCTGTGTGTGTTTGGTGGTTATTTGCCTGGGTGAGGTGGGAGAGCAGGGCTGGGCACTGCTGCCTCCATCACCTGCTCAGCTTCCTGGCCAAGCTGTCTCACCACCAGCTGCTGATGTCCTCTGCTCTGCCCCCAGCCATGCCTGAGCCTGTCCATGCCTACTCCTGCCCACTCTTCTGGACGGAGTACGAAGGCCACTGCTACCGCTACTTCCCCATCAACAAAACCTGGGCTGAAGCCGACCTCTACTGCGCCGAGTTCTCCATCGGCATCAGGTCAGCCAAGCTGGCCTCCATCCACAGGTGAGCTGTGCAGAAACATCATCCCACGCTGACACAGCCTAGGCTGGAAGGAAACTGGGGGCAAAGTCCCATTCCCACACCACAGCCTCTGTGTCAGCTGCAGGCTCGTGTTGCAGCCTACACATCCCTCTGCAGCAGCGGCCCAGCCCAGGCTGATGCACAGGTCACACAAAGGCAATATAGAAAATAAATGCCTTTCCTGGACTGGCAGGAAAACTGGCATAGTATTCCCTAAATTTCCTCAAACTGTGTTTTTTACTCTTGAAAAAGGGATAGAAGTACAACATGATTACACAGGCTTTTTTCCCTATTCCCTCTCCCCCAGCTCTCACCAGCACTATGCTCCTCTTGCACAGACCTGGGAAAATAACCAGCAGCAGTAAGAAGCAGGGGAACCATTTGCTCACAGGTCCTGTGGTAGGGTGAGTGCTTAGGGACACGCCTGACCATTTGCTGACTTATCCTCTTGATTGCCCTGTACTGCTCTGTTTTGCCAGCTGGGAAGAAAACGTCTTTGTGTACGACCTGGTGAACAGCCGCGTGCCCGGCATCCCCACCGACATCTGGACGGGACTCAACGACCTACGGCAGGTGGGAGCTCCCTGGAATCCTGTGGGAAAAGGCTTTGAAAAATTCACCTCTGTGTTTTCCTCCTGGAAAGCCACTTGGTTTTTTCTTTGCTCCTTATACCCCTTTAATCAGGAGGTGGCATAGAGTCTGTGGTGCAGCACTTGAAGAAACTTGTTATTTTACCCATTCCAGTTTGCTTCTAAAAGAGGAGTGTTACTAGAGTTAATAGATTAATCAATAATTACTCATATCACATTTTATTACTAAATTAATAGAAAGAGTATTGTACTGTTGGTCCAAGAAGAGAAAATAAACTGAAAAGGTCTTCTGTGTCAAAAACCACCGAGTTCCATTGCTCTCTTGTGCTACTCTGTGACTTTTGAAAGCTGACATGTTGGAAATATATAGTCTAATATGTTAGAAAGAAAAATGGAGACCATCAGGAGAACAGTCTCATGTCAGCATATTTTTTGTAGATACTGAAAAAAGAATGGAAAAGGAAAAGGAATGTAGAACTGGGTAGGGGTGTTAAAAATATATATAGATTTGATTTCTGGGGATATTGGGATGGGGATGATGGGACACGGAGATGGGACATGGAAATGGGACACAGAGACGGGATATTGGGATGGAACATGGGGATGATGGGACATTGGGATAGGACACTGGGATGGGACATGGAGATGGGACATGGAGATGGGACATGGACTGGGACATTGGGATGAGACATGGAGGTGACGGGAGATGGGATGGGACATGGAGATGGGACATGGAGATGGGACATGGAGATGGGACATGGAGATGGGACATGGAGATGGGACATGGAGATGGGACATGGAGATAGGACACTGGGATGGGACATGGAGATGGGACATGGAGATTGGACATGGACTGGGACATTGGGATGAGACATGGAGGTGACGGGAGATGGGATGGGACATGGAGATGGGACACGGATGGGACACCAAGATGGGACGTGGAGATGGGACATGGAGACAGGAGATGGGACACTGAGATGATGGGACATGGTTGGATCACAGAACTGAGACACGGAGATGGGAGACAGGGAAGAAGGGACCAATCCCAAGGTCCCCAGGGGTGTCCCAAGGCCGGATCCCGGCCTGACCTTGGCTCCGAATCCGTTGGCGCCGGCGTCGGGCGTCACTCCGGAGGCGGCCATGTAGGTGCTGCCGATGGTCTTGATCTTGGTGATGCAGCGGAACTGGGGCTCGTCCAGCAGCTGGGCACCGGCACGGACACCGGGATCACGGCGGGTCCCGGCCGGAGCGCGGGGGGAACCTCCGGGTGGATCCCAGGGATCCCACCTGGATGATCCCAGGGATCCCACCTGGACGCTCCTGTGATTCCCAGTCCGATCCCACCTGGATGTTCCCTTGATTCCCAGTGTGATCCCATCTGGATGTTCCCGTCATTCCCAGTCCGATCCCACCTGGATGCTCCCGTGATTCCCAGTCTGATCCCACCTGGATGTTCCCATGATCCCACCTGGATGCTCCCATGATCCCACCTGGATGCTCCCGTGATTTCCCAGTCTGATCCCACCTGGATGCTCCTGTGATTCCCAGTGTGATCCCACCTGGACATTCCCCACATTTCCCACCGTGATCCCACCTGGACATTCCCCACATTTCCCACCGTGATCCCACCTGGACATTCCCCACATTTCCCACCGTGATCCCACCTGGACATTCCCCACATTTCCCACCGTGATCCCACCTGGACATTCCCCACATTTCCCACCGTGATCCCACCTGGACATTCCCCACATTTCCCACCGTGATCCCACCTGGACATTCCCCACATTTCCCACCGTGATCCCACCTGGACATTCCCCACATTTCCCACCGTGATCCCACCTGGACATTCCCCACATTTCCCACCGTGATCCCACCTGGACATTCCCCACATTTCCCACCGTGATCCCACCTGGACATTCCCCACATTTCCCACCGTGATCCCACCTGGACATTCCCCACATTTCCCACCGTGATCCCACCTGGACATTCCCCACATTTCCCACCGTGATCCCACCTGGACATTCCCCACATTTCCCACCGTGATCCCACCTGGACATTCCCCACATTTCCCACCGTGATCCCACCTGGACATTCCCCACATTTCCCACCGTGATCCCACCTGGACATTCCCCACATTTCCCACCGTGATCCCACCTGGACATTCCCCACATTTCCCACCGTGATCCCACCTGGACATTCCCCACATTTCCCACCGTGATCCCACCTGGACATTCCCCACATTTCCCACCGTGATCCCACCTGGACATTCCCCACATTTCCCACCGTGATCCCACCTGGACATTCCCCACATTTCCCACCGTGATCCCACCTGGACATTCCCCACATTTCCCACCGTGATCCCACCTGGACATTCCCCACATTTCCCACCGTGATCCCACCTGGACATTCCCCACATTTCCCACCGTGATCCCACCTGGACATTCCCCACATTTCCCACCGTGATCCCACCTGGACATTCCCCACATTTCCCACCGTGATCCCACCTGGACATTCCCCACATTTCCCACCGTGATCCCACCTGGACATTCCCCACATTTCCCACCGTGATCCCACCTGGACATTCCCCACATTTCCCACCGTGATCCCACCTGGACATTCCCCACATTTCCCACCGTGATCCCACCTGGACATTCCCCACATTTCCCACCGTGATCCCACCTGGACATTCCCCACATTTCCCACCGTGATCCCACCTGGACATTCCCCACATTTCCCACCGTGATCCCACCTGGACATTCCCCACATTTCCCACCGTGATCCCACCTGGACATTCCCCACATTTCCCACCGTGATCCCACCTGGACATTCCCCACATTTCCCACCGTGATCCCACCTGGACATTCCCCACATTTCCCACCGTGATCCCACCTGGACATTCCCCACATTTCCCACCGTGATCCCAGCTGAACATTCCCCACGATTCCCACCGTGACCCCACCTGGCCGTTCCCCGTGATCCCCGCTGCGGTCCCACCTGGCCTGGCCGTGCCCCGCCCCGATCCGTGGGGAATTCCGGCGGCGCCGGGGGCTCACCGCGTCGAAGTCGGAGATGATCTCGTTGAGGAAGCGCAGGCACTCGATGCCGCCGTTGTTGATGCTCTCCTCCGTGTAGAAGTCGGCGAAGTTGGGCAGGGAGGCGAACATCACCCCGATCTCCTCGTAGGA